GGGAGAAACCATATGTCTGTGTGCAGTGTGGGAGGCGTTTCAGCCAGGCAGGAGACCTGAAAAAACACAAGAGGGTCCACACTGGAGAGAAACCATACTACTGCAACCAGTGTGGGAAGAGCTTCAGTCGAGGGGAGAATCTTAAAAGACACCAAAAGATCCATATCGGTGAGAATTTACAGATACAGCAAGCATGGAGGGAGCAACAGTAATAATTACTGTGCTAGATGCAGTACAGCTCTGTAAAAAGAGCACGCTTACTTTGTGCAGTATCTGAGAATAATACTTTTTGGTCTGTGTTCTTGGTTTTAAAAATAGTTGCAGGGTATTTAAATATACAACAGAATACATGAAAAGGCTAGTAACTTGTAACTTCTAATGGAATTTTTTCACAGCAGATATTTTGGCATATCTTAGCATGAAAAGCACAGGTGTAATTGATAATATTAAAATCAGCTGCATTCCATTTAGGTGAGCTAGTTTCAGGGTCCACATACTCTGCAGACTGGTTCACTGTCAAGGCTTACTGGAAGACTTGATGGAATCGAGCCATTCTTAACAGAGGGAAAATTGGATTTGTAATAACATAGCTCAAGTCTGCTGTGAAAAACAATCTTGTGATGAAAAAGGGCTGTTGAAGGTTATTACTTAACCAAAGAGGCTAATACTTTATAGGTAGAGATGCACTGATATAAAGGCATATTGTGTACTTTGCTCTAAGAACTAGTATTGACTTTGGACTAAACAGATTCATATCCAGTGAACCTGTGGTCTAACATGTTTTGGTCATGTACAGAACGTTTTCGTTCCTTTTAGGTAAGTGACCAGTAAAGATGATCAATTGAAACTTTTTAAATTCTGAATAGCATGACAGTCATTAAAATTGCCAGATTTTCCTGAATGACTATGACTTGAATGTTTGATATATTTTTCATTTTATTTAGTTATTTAGCATACAAGCCAAGACAATAAAGCTTGCACAGCAAAAGTAATAAATTAATTGCTTACCCCCACAAATGACCCAAGCAAACTCTTCAAGTATTTTGTCTCATGGCTTAATTTAAAAACAGATTAATAGACAAATATCACAGTTAACAACATATGTATACTTTAGTATACATATGTTGTTAACTGTACTTATTTACCCCCACCCCACACACAACACAAGTAAATACAACAGCTTCATTGTGTTCGCAGTGAGTGATCTACCAGTCCTATCCAAACAGGCCTTGTGCTAACTGTGTTACAGTGCATCAAATGTCAACATTTATTGTTGTGCATTGTTCATAAAATAAAGAAATAAAATGCTGTTATAATATTACATGGTCTCCGGGTTTCAGTTTGTGGTCATTTGATCAAATAAACTTTATTTACAGCATGTATGAGTACAATATACCCTAAAATAATAATACAAGACAGAGCCTCAAAATGACAGTACAGCACCTTACTGGTAATTCAACCTTATGTTTCTAATGCAGATCACCTTGGACAGGGTGCCTCTGGGCAAAGTGACTGAATCTTTATATATTACGACAGCTGGACCTCTGCCAGTGAAAGCCAGAAACCAGCACTGATTCGGTGTATTTACTGTTTGTACAGCTAAAGCAGTTTGTGCCGTTGACGTGGAGCCGCCCTCACCTCCAGCTACCAGGAAGTGATTGACACACACCTACTGGAGAAGCTGAATCAGTTGCTACACTTCAGAAAAGTGAGTAAACGAAACTCGTGTGGTTGTTAGAAATTTTCCGGTCAATTTCTGAACTAGAAGTAGCGTGTGACAAATAGAAAGCAAAAATTCATGAACGTCAGTCATTATTGCGAAGCACAGATGGTCACCGCCTTAAAACCATTTGGCGAGTTATTAATGGCGCTCGGTTTGGTATGTTTCCAACAAAATATAAGATGGTATCAATCTTTACATAGCTTTATGCTGTATGAAAGAAACTTTACAGTTTCAAAAGTATTGCTTTCGCGATGTGGCGCATTTCCTCGTAGCAACACGGAAAGAGCACATGGCCCTAACAGATAAGAACTGCAACTTCTGTAAACATTAAACTCGTTAATATCACTTGTGCGTTAACGCACTCATGGTAATAAATGAGGAAGTAGGAGTTTTATTTTGTCGTTGCTTCTTGTGTCTGTGGCAGGTTGAGCTTTGAATAACCTGTGATGTTGAAATGAAGATTGATGAAAAAATTGTCAGCTATTTTGAATCTTGCGACTCACCTGTGGACAAAGAAGGGTACCTATACAAGAAGGTAAATCACTTTGGATAATACACAGTATTTAAACTGAAGAAGAGCTGCTAAACCATATGCAAAGGCAGCCCCTGCCTTATTCTTGTTAGCTAACGTGTGTAAAAGTCTTAAATAGGAATAAGATACTTTAATATAGCTGGAAGGCTATCAATCCATACATCTCAAAATAATGTAGCCTAATATAGCAAAAAAACTACAAATTTTACTGCAGTTTTTGGTGTTTGCATCAGTAATTTCATGAGACACTCTGTGACATTTCACCTCCCCCTAGGGTGCTTATTTCATCAAGCCAGTTGTGTAAGAAATTGAGTAAATGAGGTTTTTGTAAATGAGTTAGTAAACCACAGCTGTCACACAGGGTGAGATAAAGACCTCCTATCAGAAGCGCTGGTGTGTGCTGAAGGGGAACCTCCTCTTCTACAAGGAGCGACCCTCTGACCGTGACCTGATAGGAGTGATTGTTCTGGAGGGCTGCACCGTCCAGCTGTGCGAGTCCGAGGAGCAGTTCGCTTTCTCACTGGTGTGGAGCGATCCGGGCCTGCGAACTTACAAGTTTGCCGCTGAGGACGAGACCAGTCAGGAGAGCTGGATCAAAGCCCTGCTGTCAGCCAACCACAACTACCTGGCCCTGCTGGTGACGGACATGGAGAACAAATACAAAGGTGAGATAAAGACACTGTGTGTCTTTATCTGTGTGGGTGAAAAAGAGGATGCTTTGTTCTGGAGAGCAGCTGTGAGATGCATTGCATCACTGTTTGCTGCTGCATATCAGATACCATGCACATCGTGGTACATGGTATGCAGACATTATAATCTCATAACTTCTTTTTGCCAATATGTGCAGCCGCATATGGTAAATACAGGTTTGTAATGATCTAAGACATTATCAGAGAGGGGTTAATTCAACTTTGTAGTAGTTTTTGGAGTTTGAGTTTATGGTTTTGTTGCATTTGATTGTGGTACATTGTAGGTATTAATAGTATTCTGTCCCCTTCTGTGTGTAATGTGGGACTAGAAATAAAATTCATTTTATCAACATAAACTACAGCCTAAAAAAAGAATTGAATCATCTCCTCAAACTGAGCCTGATAAAGTTCACAAAGGTTGGTTTTAGACCAGGGTTATTTTGTGTATAATACAGGTCTTTGTATACTACTACTGTGTCTTGAAATAAGACCTCCAGCTCACCCCTGCTGGTTTAGAAGTAAACATTAGCACTTGGGCCAACATGTATTCTCTGGTTTTGCAGCCATGCCAGAGAATAAAATGGTTACCCTAAAATACAAAAATGGGTTATAAATGAAAAGATCAGTTTAAGAACATTTAAAAATAATTGTTGGTGGGATTAATAGATTTGTCAACACATGAAAAGAACATCAGTAGAACACTGAGCCAAAACAACTAATGCAGTGTTAATGTCTGTTAATGTACTTATTTATTCATCTTTTTGTTGCACTCTCTCCTCAGACACACTTGTTACATTCTCTGGTGAACGCTCTTCTACTTTCTATCAGAGCACACAAACATCAGCGCTGCATTCATACCCAGCACTGGCTGTGGTAACAGGAACCAGTATGAGCTCCAACCCAGTGCTTCATGCTCCAGCCGTTTCACCCAAAACAGCTGGTATAAGATCGCCCAAACTCCGGCACAAAGGGAATGCAAATGTGTTGCCTATCAGTGCTCCTGCTCTGCCTGTGGGAGAGCGGTCAGGGATCTGCTTAGGCAAGGAGGAATTTAGTAAACTGCATGAAGATTTTGGAAAAGAGGTGAAGGAACTGATTGCTGAATGGTCAAAACAAAGACGAGGTGGTGCAGCTGCACAGGAAGAAAACTTAATAGATTTTGGATAATAAGCATGAAGTATACGCAGTGTCTAGACCTTCAGTGCTATAATCATGGTTGTACTACAAAAGAAGCTTTTATGTTTAAAATTAGAACTATAACTTTTAAGGTTAAGTGGTATTTGTATATATTTGCTGTTAACAGCATACTGTTTATTTTGTACATATAATGCCAGAGTTAATAAATGATCTATGATCTCCTGCTCTATTGACCTTTGTTCCATACTGAAGTGAAAACACATCACTCACTATAACATTAACATCATTTACAAATGTGCCCTTTATCTAATTCGTTTTTAACTATTCTATCTACTCAACCACAGGGTATGATTTATGAATAAAGCTGAATATAATTAAAGTAATGGATTTAAAAAAAAAAAAAAAGGGAAGGGAATTGGGGAAGTTTGCCAAATTTTAGAAGAGTCCAAATGGCTGAGAAAGAGAGCGACAGGGGCTGGCAGCAGTTATTTAAGTCTACAGCTGCCTTGTTTTTATGGTCTTTGCCAGAGCTTGGTCTCTTTCTCCCTCTGTGCCTCTCTCTCTTTTCACCTTCATGCTTGAAGTGGCTGCTCGCAACCTTTTTCACACAAGGTTTAAAGTTTGCTTGCTTCTCTGCAAATAATTCTCTCTGATTTAAATTATCAGTGGCAAGCAAAATCAATAAAGGCGATATAAAATTAGACATAAACATGTATTCCTTAAGAAAAATCAGGTTTATTTTGCTTTGTGAAATACTAGGTCTCCAAATGACATTCAGGATCGATTCATGCCGGTGCTGGATTCGTCTACATACCTTAGTTGAACAGCAGTGTTATTGGTGGCAGCCTACGAAGCTCATATATGGAGTTTGGTGGGTGGGCTCCTGATCTAAAGCAACCATACAGGGTATGATGTATGAATAAAGCTGAATATAAGTAAAGTAATGGATTTAAAAAAAAAAAAAAAGTGAAGTGAATTGGTGAAGTTTGCCAAATTTTAGAAGAGTCCAAATGGCTGAGAAAGAGAGCGACAGGGGCTGGCAGCAGTTATTTAAGTCTACAGCTGCCTTGTTTTTATGGTCTTTGCCAGAGCTTGGTCTCTTTCTCCCTCTGTGCCTCTCTCTCTTTTCACCTTCATGCTTGAAGTGGCTGCTCGCAACCTTTTTCACACAAGGTTTAAAGTTTGCTTGCTTCTCTGCAAATAATTCTCTCTGATTTAAATTATCAGTGGCAAGCAAAATCAATAAAGGCGATATAAAATTAGACATAAACATGTATTCCTTAAGAAAAATCAGGTTTATTTTGCTTTGTGAAATACTAGGTCTCCAAATGACATTCAGGATCGATTCATGCCGGTGCTGGATTCGTCTACATACCTTAGTTGAACAGCAGTGTTATTGGTGGCAGCCTACGAAGCTCATATATGGAGTTTGGTGGGTGGGCTCCTGATCTAAAGCAACCATACTGGGAACTTCCAAGACCATCCCGAATTTGTGCAACTCATTTAGTCCAATGATCATTTGCTGTTTTTCATCACAGATGTGACTTAAAATCAGAAAGCAGATGTGAACAATTTACAGAATCTGTTTTTTATTTGGTGTAAAATACAGTCTACATTTAATTTTTCCTTTTCAAAACTGAATTTTAAAGTTGCACATAATTACATTTGTCAGTATTAAAGAACTATTTACATTTCTCATCAATGCAAGTCACTGTTTCTAGAGTGCTACTAGACAAGCGTCATCACTGGAGCTGGACCAGTGTCCATCAGCCAACTGTTTTCAAGTTTCATGACTGTTTATAAACCCCATTAGCCACTACCGATCTGGTAGTGGGCACAAATCTCAGATCAAGCCTATCAATTAGACAGGTGATGACTTCAGGATATGTTAACTGCAAATACATGTTGGCACCTTGAGTATCTTGAGGCTGTTAGTCATTAGAAAATATGGCTCAGGCTGAGACACGTGTATATCAAAGGAGCAGTACGTCATCATGTAGTACGCTGGGCTTTGTTATCTCACAGTAGATGTAACGGAAAGAGAAAAAGCAATACCCTCAGTACGCTAGAAAAAGAAGGGAGCAATGGGGACAGTTGTCTCTCACCATGCCCTGTTTGGCCATATTAGTCCACAGATGACCCCAAAGTAAATCCTGTCTGTTGGCATTGAATTTACCTCATTCCAAGACTCCTGGAGCCTATTTTGGAGCATTGGTAAGCTGATCCATGCCGCCACCTTCCAGCTCCTCCCTCATTCTCTTACTTTCCCTCAGCTCTGTTTTCCTGCCAAACCTGATGGTGTGGCTAAAGTTAGCCACCCATGGGGCTACTATATAAGACCCCAAGAGCCCAATACTTCCATGTCAGTCGCATCAGCTTGGCGTAGGCTTCTCTTCTTGACCAACAACAACCCCACAAACTTGAGAGATGGTGAGTGTGGTCATGCTCCGTGGGAGGACAGTCTGCTCTAAACTGATGAAATGAAAGCATCACTGATACATTTGCTGTATCATCATGAAATGAAATTGTAGGAGTCTCTTAAGATGAGCATTTCAAACTGAATGTAGAATCATGCATTCTATCGTTTATCTACTGGCTTTGCTATCTGTCTTTAACCATTGTGAAATACAATATGTTTGCTCCCTAATCTTTATAGTCTCCAAAGCCATTACATAGTAATTTGCTGTAAACTGAGCAAAAGATTCTAATAGGACTTTTTCTTTCTTCTTGTTAGAAAAAAAGATAGCAAGATTGCATTTGGCAATTTGGCAAAATCTGTAATATAGGGCAATTTTATTATATTTATTTTGGAGCTTTGTTAATATTCTTGTTAGAATTCATGTAGATGTAACTAAAACCTGTAGTTTAGGACTCATGTATGCTCTTGTTTTTGACAGCAGTCTTGTTCCTCAGATGTAATTGGGATCTGTTTGCTTGGCTGAGGTTTGAAGTTTTGTACTTTTAAAGTATATTTTACCTTTCACCTTTGTCAGGCACCCAAGAAAGCCAAGAGGAGGCAGCAGCAGGGTGAGGGTGGATCCTCCAATGTGTTCTCCATGTTTGAGCAGAGCCAAATCCAGGAGTACAAGGAGGTAACATTCTCGCATCGCACACACATTACACACACTTCAAATCTGAAGTTTTCTACTAGTTAAATATTGAAGAAAAGACATTTTATGGTACTAATATAACTGATGTGTCATATGGTCTTGGAGGTCATATGAGAAAGCTTCCGAAACATATAGACCTGATCTTTTTGGCTGCATGACATCAAAAATGTCCTCCTCAGCATGGTAGGACAGTAAATCTGAGGTTATCCATCCAGTGACAGCAGCTCTCTCTCCTCTGTGGCGGCTCAGTAATCCTCCTCAGAGTCTCAGAACACTCACTCTGTGACCTCACTGGAATGCTGCCCAACAGCTGATGGACAAGAATATTAATCAAAGTAAGAAAGAGCAGCTCAAGGTAGAAACCTGAAAACATTTGAGGTCACCAATGTTTAAAGATGAGTCTTCCTTTAGGGATGGAAAGGAGAGCAAAATGTTGTTTTGCTACCTTTAAAAGGCTTTTCTTAAGATTTGAGGATGTAGCACTTCACTCAACAGAAAAAAATGAATGTTGTTAGTAGATTGCAAAAAAGCAGAAGTCGTTCTGGGACTTTCCTTCAAGTAGAATTGAAAGACAATACGCTGGCTACAGGGGGTTAGTAAAATGAAAGAACATTTGGACAGGGTCAGAAGATTTAGTCACAAGACAAAAAGAGGGGAGGGGGTGACAGCTGTAATCAATACCTTCTCCTTAAATGTCGCAAAGGGCTTGTCTCACATTCCGAGACCATTTTAACACTTTAGAAAGACAAGTGGTGGACCAGCTGCCAAGTCCCAGATGGTGTTTAATGCCATCTTTGGTTTTATTGGATGCTCCACCCAGCTCTGTGGCAAGAGAAATGGACAACAGCTCTACATTTTCCACATTTATATTGGCAGACTATCTCACACAAACAATTATCATAAGCAAGACTTATGACAAGGACTTGTGAGAAATGTGAGGATCTCATGTTCCACTATTTTAATTAGCTGTATTTTAGCTGATATAATGAGGGCTTATGAAAGTCATCTGAGGAGGTGGCTGACCTTTAGTATAGTGGCCCACAGCAAATCAAGCACAACAGATTCACTGACTGACTGACCTCTCCTTTCATACTCAACTCTTGTTGGTAGGCTTTCACAATCATTGACCAGAACAGAGATGGCATCATCAGTAAAGACGATCTCAGGGACGTGTTGGCCTCCTTGGGCCAACTGAATGTGAAGAATGAGGAGCTGGAGGCCATGATCAAGGAGGCCAGCGGTCCCATCAACTTCACTGTCTTCCTGACCATGTTTGGCGAGAAGTTGAAGGGTGTGTTGATGCAGAAACTTACTTCAGTTTGTCCCTCATTTTCGCTTTTTGTCTTTTTTCATAAAACATTTTGCACTGCATGTATTTATCTTTTTGTATTATATACAATCCACATTACATCCTTGATATGAATTGCTAAAGTTTTATTTTATCCTTTATCTTTAAGACTAATTGGCCTGCTGTTACTGTTAGGTGCTGATCCCGAAGATGTTATTGTGAACGCTTTCAAGGTTTTGGATCCCACAGGCACTGGCACCATTAAGAAGCAATTGTAAGAGCTTTTTATTTTATTCTCATCTCTCTTAACTTTTTGTGTCATAACCTTGAATCGAGATAAACCATCATATTTATTTTTCTCCATTTTCCTTCTCCAGCTTTGAGGAGCTCCTGACCACCCAGTGTGACAGGTTCTCTGCTGAGGAGGTGAGCAGAGTAGTCTTTGTCTCACTCACATTCTGTCATACCCTCTGTTGTTAAGGGTTGTGTGTTATTTATTTAATCCCTTCTGTGTAGATGAAAAGCCTGTGGACTGCCTTCCCCCCTGATGTGGCTGGCAATGTAGACTACAAGAACATCTGCTATGTCATCACACACGGAGAGGACAAGGAGGAGTAAATGCCCCTCTCTCAAGACCTCTATCTCCGCCCAAACCCCACCATCTACTCACTCCCTCCTATCCATCGCCGTGGCTTCCTTGCACACCCTCACATCCCAGCCTGCTCTTTCTGTTGGTAAGCTCGCTGTGAAAAGACTTGTCTCCTTTATTAAAATACTCAGTGAGAGGACTGAAGGCTGTGGAGGTGTTTGTGTGTGAGTACCAACAGGGGAACCTGAGATTATTCTCAATAAAAATAATCTTGTGACATTGAAACACTCTCCATCTCTGTCCCTGCCTCTTGTTCCTCCTTCTTATCCTCCCATCACTCACTCTGTCTTCTACGTTGAGGCCATCAGCGCATGCATCATAACTGTGTACAGTCGGTATGCATATTCAGTCCAGTTAAAATGTCTCTTGGGCGCTGTGGTGCGTGCACAGTCACTTGCTTGAAACAAGTAAGCAGCCTGGCCTGAGCGGTTTGTTAGTCTTAATGTGACATAGAGTGTTTAATGGATTTGTACCTTTGTTTGTATTGGAGAGGGGTGCACAGTAAAAGAGTGGGAGTACTGTACTATAATAGTTTGCATACCTCTCTCTTTTTAATCTGTCTGTCCATCTCTTATACACAGGTATGAAAGGAAAAGTTGCAATGAAAAGAGGAAAGTGTGATCTTTTAAAAGATTTAAATCTTGTAACTAGAGAAAGAGATGGTGAAAGATAGTGAGTGGTAGGCAGAAAAGAAATGAACAAAAGTAAAACATCTTTGTTTTTTTAGGGTTCTTCCTCCCTCTCACTGCTGTTTCTTTCCTGTTGTTGTGACTGTTTCCTCATTGTAACAAATAAATAAATAAAAATAAAGTCCACTTTCTTTCGTATGACACTGTGTCTGTTGATTTAAGTGGGGGCATGGGTGAAAGTACTGCCGGTTGACTGTGGACAGCCCTGTAGAGCACTTACTGCACACTGACTGTAATATGGATATGGTGAAACATTATATAACCCATCTGGATGAGGTACTTTTAAATGGTGATTAAAATTTGGTCATGTACTAGTCAAAACTACTGACTTTTAGGTCTATTTATAGTACCAACAACTAACAAAATGTACACCATGCTGAATTGCAGGAACATTTTTATAAAGCAGGTCATGTTGTTAAATAACATTCTGCTGCCTTTAAACTATGTAGAAAATATGTAATGAGTTGTTTGTTTGGCATCTGTCTGTAGTCGCCTCTTCATTTAACATTTGCCCAGGGCTGATGCCGGAAGGCTGGAAGTGACTAATGATACATATTTAAAGCAACAACATTTTCCACAGCTGCACATACAGATGAGACAGCTGCTGATGTTTCACTGTATTAAACATGTCCAAGGCCACTGATCTTCTTGCTTGAATGACAAGATATAGGCCTACACATTTCATATGTTTTAGAGAAACATGAGATCAGAAAAATGGTGGATCCACATACAGTATGTTTTAAACAGGGTTTTTGTGGGGTTTATTTGTCCTTGATACGAGCTCTGAAATGATTATCATTTTTGTAACGTTATTGTCGTACGTGTTTGCTATTATTTGCATTTGCAAATGTCTTCTTTTTCTTCTTCTTATCAATGAATATAACTGCCATAAAATATGCAAAATCAATAGATAATGAATCACGTGACATAGTGACGTTAGCACATAAACAGGATGTAAATATAGTAAAACGTTCTGCCTTCAAAATAAAAGCACAAAGTATATGGATTAAAAAGAAAACAACTGAATCTACCAAATAAAGTAGGCCAACAAAACAATAACTATTTCTTGAGGCTAGGCAAAAACGTTAGACTTAACATACAGTGATACTATAGTTGTAGCTGGATGTTTAATTGCTCAAGCCGAAAGATTCTACGAACGTCCCTCAGTGAGCGGTTTAATTGGTAAATGGCGACAGGATGTGCTGTGTGAATGTGAAACTTGACCCCGATAATAGGGAAGGGGAACATTGGTCGTACAATACTTAAACTGAAACATTTCAGGCCCAGTTTGTCATCACTACAAACCAGGAATGGCCTTATGGTAACGTGGATGTCGGCTGTGAAAGCCATCGATACCGCTGTCGCCCCGTCGTGCCTTTGTGAGTCCTGACGGGCCGAGACCCACCACCATGGCCTCAGTGTTACCACGCTCCACATCTGTCAGGCTTCCCGCTCTGGCTATACTCGTCCTGCTCCTGATGTCGGTTACCACAGTACAGTCTTCCCAAGGCGACAAGGAGCCGGTTTACCGAGACTGTGTGAAGCACTGTGTCCGGACCAACTGCACCGGAGCTCGGCTACGGGGCTTCCAGTCTGCCCAGCCGCAGTACATGGCGCTGACAGGTGAGTTGATGTTGGCAGGTTACAGTTAAGTTGTTATGCTAACTTAACTTGCTAGCAGTCTGTAGATTTCTCAACAGTAGATCCCCTAACATTACTGAGCTCCTATATGTCCAGCTGTGTTGAGCTACATTTATCAGTGACTGTCTTGATTAGCACTCATTCTGTGTATCTGCACTCTGCTTGTGCTTCTATGCATGCCATGGCTTTTATTCTTTTCTCTTTTGAGACCTGCTACTATTTCATAGACTGAAAGTTGAAAGCCAGTTATTCTGGCTGAGCAAAGTACCACAAAGGGACTATTGTAACTCCACCCTCGGTCTATCAATAACAACTGTATGGTGTGTCTGTGTGAGGTCTAAATAACACAACAAACCGGGGCACCTTCTAATCACAGATTTGTAAAGGAAGCAATGTATAAAGTACAAATAACCAATCAGAATAGATAGACAGGGAAGTAGTTCCTCCTCCTCTGCTGCTGTAAATATAAGGAGAACATGTTTTATTTATTTATTAAAATGTTTTCAGGTGTGTTTTGTTGTTGGCCATTTGTACTAGAAGTGTTCAGTTGATACACTGAAAGAAAAGCAGCACTGTTTCTAATAGTCTGTTAATCATTTCAGTCATTTCCAGGCAAAAACACCAAATCTCCTTTGGTTCTCTAATGTGATAATTTGCTGCCTGTTTTATTTCATGTGTTCTTGTGAAGTGAACACCTTGACGGTTGTTCAGACAACATTGTGATGATATTTTTTCTCACTACTACTAAATATTGGCAGATGAATTGACAATGGAAATGGTGGCTAATTACAGGCATTCTCTCAGTCTCCTGTCTATCTGTTCCCATGTTCGAGGTTGGACATGTCGTGATGACTGTCGCTATCAGTGCATGTGGACCACCGTGGGCCTCTACCAGGCCGAGGGGTACAGTGTCCCACAGTTCCACGGCAAGGTTTGTGCTTAGAGAGGAGAGTCACACTGAGCTTCATCACAGTTTCCTAACCTGAAGTTATTCTGTGCTGGAGAGGACACTGGACTAGCTTCACATCTGTTTGAACAAAACCCTCCAAGGGCTCCAGTATTGGTTTTGTCTCCGTGAAATGTTGTGGAATTAGCAGCATTTCAGTATATTTTATTTCTTGTAGTGGCCATTTGCACGCTTCCTGTGTTTTGAAGAGCCAGCGTCTGCCCTGGCCTCTCTGCTTAATGGCCTGGCCTGCCTTCTCATGCTGCTGCGCTATCGGAGCACAGTACCGCGCCAGAGCCCCATGTACCACACCATCAACGCCTTCTCTCTGGTGAGTCACATTCACACATAAAGTTCTACTATGTCTTTATAATGTCATGAGAAAAACAAGGGATGTAACTAGAGCCTGTACGTGTTTCTCTAGGTATCTCTTAATGCCTGGTTCTGGTCTACAGTGTTTCACACCCGAGACACCTATCTCACAGAGGTAATGGTGTGTTAAGTGCAAAGAGTCTCTGACAACTTGAATTTGAATTAACAGCTTTTTGTCCACTTGATGCTAAAAATTTCAAAATTTGATTTCAGTTTTCAGTAAATGTATTTTTGTTTGTGTATCTTTTTTTCCTTCAGAAAATGGACTATTTCTGTGCAACAGCAGTCATTCTTTACTCTATCTACCTATGCTGTGTCAGGTATGCTCTACAACAGGTATTCCACATGGCCTATAAATGGATTAAACTATTGCATGAAAGAAGCTCACATTCAACTCTAGTAATCACCTTTCTGAACATTTTTGTATTGTTTCCTGAATTAAGTTTTAACATTTCTGATAAAGACCTCTGTATATTTACTTCAACAAATGCCACCAAAATGTGCTTGAACTATCCTGTCATGATTAATGCAATGTCTCTGTTATAACACTTTCTGTTAAAATCCATTATTTTTGTTCATGCTGCGTCTACCCACTCTTTGCCAGAACATTAGGTCTGAGGCGACCAGGGGTGTCCAGCATGGTGGGAGTCCTGCTCATCTTGGCCTTTACCTCGCACGTGTCCTACTTGACCTTTGTCAGTTTTGACTACGGGTACAACATGGCTGCTAATGCCAGCATCGGTACAGCAGATGCTTAAACATCACATTAAATCTCTTTTGGTTGGTCATAACAGCATATTTTTAGTGATTTATTTTGGGTACTTATCTGTAGCTCTTATAGATTTTCATTCTGTCTGCAGGGAGAAGAGTATATACTTTAGCTTACAGCTAAATGTCACCATTTTGGTAGCATGTTTCATTGTCAACCTTGCTAATCACCCTTTTCTCACTTGATCTGCTACCATATGTCCATCACGTGGCCACTCCTTGAGTCCGTACACTCCTTATCTTCCCAGGTATGGTGAACCTCCTGTGGTGGCTGTGTTGGTGCTGGCAGAACCGGCGGACCTTACCTTACTGGTGGAAGTGTGGGCTAGTGGTGCTGCTGCTTCATGGTCTGGCCCTGCTGGAGCTGCTGGACTTCCCCCCACTGCTCTGGATTTTAGATGCTCATGCTGTGTGGCACCTTAGCACAATCCCAGTGCACTTCCTTTTCTACAGGTTTGTCCAGTCATTGTTTTTTAGCCTTAGTGAAGAGAAGCAGTCCCAAGAAAAAGACAAATTATGTATTTGCTGGGAAATGTCATGAAAATGGCGGGAGATAAAAACATTGCTTTAAGGGGTGTGGAGAAATTATAATGAAAAAGAATATTAATACCTGATAAATGATCTGTGCTTCCTCCAGTTTCCTGATAGATGACAGCCTCTACTTATTAAACACAGAGAAGATGGGTGTCAAAGTTGAGTAGCACTGCTCACCACTTCCTCACCGCACCTATGCCCTCGCACTCCTCCAAACAGGGCATCCGGACACCCAACCATGGAAGTGGTTCAGCCTCCCAGATGACATGCATGTCACCATTAAGACTTTGATCAAAGGCTCACTTTGTTTACGTCTTTTTGTTTGAATTTTCTTTTATTTGTTTGGGGGTATATTCTTTTTATGTTTAAATGACAGTTCCCATTTTCCTTTGCCTTGTACTGAATGAACTGTGCTACCATTCTTTTGCCATTTATCATAATTGTAAAACAGGATGAAGGATTAAGTTTTATTTTCTGCCACAGCAGAAGCACTTTTTGACACCTCCAGCTGTGATGACTGCGGTGCATTTCCTGTTTCTTCTGACTCTCTGTTACGTCTGAAATTTGTTCCTGTGAACCTGTAATTTGACTCCAACCACAAATGGCACTTTGCTGTGGCTGCCAGTAGATGGCACCAAATTCCTTGTCAGGGCATCATTAACTTTGTGCGTGCAGCATGTGTCAGGCTCCATCTGTGCCAAAAGTGAACAAGCTCACACCGAGAGGTGCCCCTTGTGAAGGGTGGAGGCCACCAGCAGATTGTTCCAGAGACAGGGGGAAGGGATTTTATGTTTGGAGGCCATTCTAGGCCATCACACCTTTATTTTGGTGCCTCTGTTGTTTCTGCTGCCACTTTTGTTTCTTTCATTTAAGATTTTTATTTTCATTTTTATCTGCGGCCTTAGTTGTTTTTGTTGTTGTTGACCAATTTATGCTTTATCCTTTTTGAGAGTTTTACTTTGATTGCTTGATGTCCTGATGATAAAATGGAAATATTATTTTGATTCACCTGGATTGCCTTTTAAGTGTGAGGAAAATGATAGAGGTAGGAATTATAAGCAGTGCAACAGGAAGCTGCAGTCAGTGGGACAAAAAAATTCTAAAATTCTGGGGTTAGTGTGTGTGTGTGGGGAGGGGAGACAATAAGTGTTTAGGTGTTTGACACCCATTATTTTGATTTGGTTGCATTTCTTGCTGCAGTGTTTCCCAGAATGACACACAAACAGCCTTACATACTGTGTCACAATCTGCTTATCTGTGACCACGTTTCTTCTTCTTTTGTAACAGATCTTTTTTCCTCAACAAAATAACTGAATTCATATCATATATGGCTTCAACCATCCGAGTTTATCTTCCACATGTGCACCTCACTGTGTTGGAGGTTCTGCCCATGCCTTTGTGTTTCTGTGTGAGAATGAGAACAATGAGCAGTATGTGTGTGTGTATGTGTACACGTTGCCTTGACTCAACATTATATTGTATTGTGTGTTTGCCATGATAAACTGAATCGCTGTACGTGACAGCTTCAGGATGCTTGATACTTTTGTAAAGGTACCGATGGTTGAGTGTGTGCGTGTGTGTCTATAAATATATTCCATATGTATGAGGATTTCTGCATGAGCATGTGTGAGGTGATGGGTAAATTTAGCTTTACTGACAGCTTGTGACTGGGGTGGGGGAAGCCTTGGACAGTTTGTCACAGGTCTGGGGGATGACAAGATATTGGACAAAATTGTGTATATTATTAACTACTGACATTTATGAAATGTCTGGGGCCCAGTTAAAAAAACATCTAAAAAACAAGAAATTAGTATTTGAATTACTATTTGTACCTACTAAAAGGTACAAATACTTCTTCCTAAGTCATTTCTCTAGTCAGTTTTATTTTTACCATAAAAACAAACTCTGGTTTTACTCTGTAAATCATTCCACTGTTGCTTTGACTTTACCAGTGACCACATCCCTCCTTTCCCCCCACTCATCTGCTGCCCCCTGCCTGCTGCCCTGTGCACTATCACCTCTCCTACTGTGTGCATTTTCCTGTACCTCACATTATTTGACCCAAAACAAACAAACAAACAAAAAAAAAATATA